TCAGTGAGGTTATTCGGCAGATGGGCTCGTGGAAGGAGGCCAGTGCTTTGAAGCGTATGCGTATTGGAGCAGAAGCAGCTGGAGAAAGGCCTTGGAGCTACATGTTTCGTCTTCTCTTCGGGGATTATTGGTGGAAGGGCGGTGAGTTTTCCTGGAAGACGTTTCTCGACAAGATGCCTGCCTACCTGAAACACTGTGGTCATGAAAAAGCGTCTGAGTATTTTGTGCTTTCTGGAAAGGGGACGGGGGCCAAAGTTGAAGACGTCTTGGGGGGAGATGATGACTCAGGAGGTTTCTGGAGCGGAGGCGGGCAAGCTTTTTAAGCGGCTGGCTATCTTAAATGGAAGGGCGACGGTTTGGGATGTTGTTTCAGCCGGGCTTCCTGTTGAGTTATGCGGAGATAGCTTGCGCATCATTAATTGGGCTCGTGGTAAGTGGAGGGCGGGTAACAACGCTTACCAGAAAAGAGTCGATAAGCTGGTTGATAAGATGGCGTGGCTTGAGAATCGTTACCACCTCCGTTCTAGTTTCCCAGGTCGAGACCTCTTCAAACATGAACTCAGAGAGAATAGCCAGAGGGCGGATGCTCTCGCCCATCAAGCGCGGGAAGGCCACGAGAGGTACACCTTGAGGCCTGTCACACCCGATTACCTAGGCACTATGAGCTTGCTGCCCTCCGCGGTCGTTCGATGGCGGAGTGGACGCGTCTGGTTGTGGTATTGGTTTCTTTCTCGAGGCTGGTTTTCTTCCTCATCCTCAATTTCGTTCTAAACGCCTGAGGCACTCCGCCCCCTCTGAGTCGCTCCAGCCTGCTGCTTTCGGCGACGGTCTCGTTCGGAGAGATGTTGCGGAGGCCGCCTTTCTCCTGCCTAGAGATAGTACAGTCAATTGAGCTGAGAGCTCGCGGTGAGCTCGAGGCGCCCCCTCGGCGTTTGGCTCGGGCAGGCTCCGACGGAGCCTTCGCTGCCCGCAAAACCGCAAAACGTCCATGCCCATAGGGCCAGGGAGTTGAGGCCACCAAGCACTGTTCGCAGCCGAGCACAGCAAGACATCGCTATGCACGGTAAGGAATCCCACATGAATGATTTCGACAACGCGGTTAAGAAGGCACTCGGCATGTACAACCTGAACAAAGATTGGCGCGAATTGTGTTCCTCGATATGCTGAGACAGATTCTGAGGCAGGGCGACTCTGTCAAACAGCTTCGTCCCATGGCACATTCAGGTCTTTTTGAGGACGTCCAGGACGACGCCGTCAAACAGCTTCTTCCCAGTGCACATTCTGGTCTATTTGGAGACGTCCCGGGCGCCGACGCTAGCAACAAGGTCAGCGACATGGTTGTTAGCCTTCGGGGGGCCCGCGCATGTTTCGCACGTGCGCATGTCTGGACCATGGCGCGCGCCCTTTCTGTACAGCATACCCAGGAATGTGCGGGCATGCAGGCGCGACGCCTGAAAGCCCGAGCCCTCGCCCGCGAACTGTTGCAGGGGTCCAGGAAGGTTATTTACGCAGCCGCGGCCCCTGATGGCGCCGTAGACCTGCGCGCCGACTCCGGGCATCGGGAGCTTAGCATTCAAGAAGACGACGAGGCCGAGGGCAACGGCCGCTGGGGGGCTGCAATCTGCTGCGTCGTGGAAGCACGAGTAACAATGGGGAAATTGCATGCTGGACTGACAGCCCCTGCAACTGTCATCGCCTCCGTGCTAGGCCCACTTGCGCCGCTGAAGCACATGCTGTCGCTCACAGCCCGGTCTGAAGTTATTCGATTATGGTAATCTGCTGCGAGCTGGTCAAGGGTCCCCCGAGTTCCTCCGAACTCAAACGCATCCGTGAATTCGGCGGGCTCTGAGTTCGACTGCCACTCGTGATTGGCGCCGAGTCAGTGCGTGATACATTATTGGGGCATATCATTTGGATCAGACATTTCTGGACATCGGCATCTTCCACATCGCGCAATCGCGCGACGCCCGAGACAATAGCGGATGGCCGCACCAAGGGCACGATCGACGGCGCTGCATTTTGCAGGGCATGGTCGGCCATCACAGCTACGCGCGCGACGCGAAGACGCATGCGCCTCGTCGAGGCAATCAATTCTCCATCGTCGTGGCTGCTGAAGCGCCTGAATGGGCCCGACGGGCCTGGCGGGGCATTCAATTTCGGCCACGCTGCGCGGGAAGAAGAGGGGCGGCTCTGGCTGGCCCCGCGGCGGGCTTTCGCGGGCCCGCGACTGCTCGAGGAAATCGCGTTCTTCGCGCCCACCTCGCTCCTGCTGTCGCGGAATCACGCCCGCAATTCCGCCGATGTGGGGCCAGCTGTCATCGGTCGTTTCTGGGGCGTTCAGGACCGTCCCTTTTGTCCGTCCCGCTCAAGCTTCATCAGTCAGCTTGCCCATGCCCATCGCACTTTCGTGCCGAGGTGCTGGCGGCGTGGGCGCATGACCCAGCTCCGCACATACTCGTGTTTATGCATTGCGTCGGTGGGCGGAGTTGTAGACTACCGATCCCTGTTGCTTGTGCACCCGCCGCCTTGCGCCGACGTAGTATGGCGACGACGGTCGGGCTGCGCCCCCCCCCCCCCCCTCTCATCGACTTTGAGGGGGTGTCCCGAGGAGGGCGTTGTCATAATGCGCTGCTCGTCTGCAGCCGCCCGCCTGGGCTCATGGCGGAGCCACCCAGTATGCCGACGTCGCCTGCGGCGTGAGATGTGCGGCTGCGAGACGGAAAAGGGACATCTTTGTCGTTGACACCCCCGCCATCACATCCTACCGTGTGTTTGCGCCCCCCCCCCGCTCTGTTCGCAATGCGATGGCGAGCCTCACCCGGTTTATCTTCAACCGTTTTCGGCGCTATGGAACCGCCGTAGTGGCTACCTTGGAGCATCATACACCCTCTAGGAACCATCTTAGGCCATCTTTTACGCTGTACCCCCCCCTCAAAATGAACTTCAGGGAGGGGGGAGGGCACTTCTTTCCGATAAGAAGATGGGTTCCGGAAGAGGAATGACATACATGTTTCGACCATTTCCGCTCCGAAAAGCGAGTGGCGTTCGATGTTTGCGTTTCTTAGTTTTGGCAGTGAACATTGACGGACGTTTTGCGTCGCTTTGAGGGCAACGGCGACCAAAATGCATCGAATTGTAATACTGTTAACTTTGGAGTGGAGGAGGCAGAGGAGGCTGCAGAGTGTACGTGTCCATCCCCCCTCCTCCCCCTGTCCGCCGTGGTATGTCGGGCATACTGTTGCTGCAGAGGTGGTGCTAAAGGCACCTGGACGGCCGACGCCGCGAGGCCGATAAACAAATTAGGTTTGTTTGAAAGTGTTCGATGGCACTCCCGATTGGTCATTTGTTCCCATGGGGGACCCATTGCTGGGGTCGCCGAGGGGCACCCCTCTCAGTAAGAGCCCCGTTCATGGGTTTCACGTGGATTTGTGTATCATGCGGGTTCCGCATGGACAATATGTTTGACTTTGTTGATCGGTTGCAAGAGGTAGTTTTCACGAATGGTCGGCTTGATACCCCCTCTTTTGTTCCCCTTTTTCATACATTCTCTCAGCTTCCTCCCTCTCCTCTTACACTTCAATCGTTTCCACATTTGTCTCTTCCTCATCGTCCCCTCGCCCCCCTCATCGTGATCCTTCCTACTCTTCCGTCTCCTTGCTCCTTTTCGCTCTGCCTCTCACTCCTCCGTGTCCCTTCTCCCGGGCGGGGCTAGGACAGGGAAAGATCGGTCCACAGAGTTTTTCGACGCTCCCATAACGTTCCAGAGTGCTCTGTAATGGCCGCGGGGCCCGATCGATCTTCAAGAGTCGTCGAATCTCAGAGATCCCGTATTTCTCCCTTTCCGATGTTGTTTCTGTCTTGGCCTCGTCTTCTTCTCGTGTTCCTCCCCTCGACGTTCCCTCCTTGCCCCCTCCCTCCCCCCCCCATGGACGAGGCGCAGTGCCACGCGAAGGACGCGCCCTCGGCAACTGCAGCTCGATCGCGCAGCGCCTGCCCCGTCGGCGATCGCCGCTGGGAGGGTCGGGCGGAAGAGGAGGGACGAGGGAGGAAGGAGGTTTCGATTCCCTCCCCCCGTTCCTCTCTGCAGCATTTCTGCAATGCGTGCTGCTCGCCTCCCTCCTCTTCTGACGTGCTGGTCGGGCCCTGCCCCACCCCGCATGCATTTCACATAGGAGAGAGAGAGAGAGAGAGTTTGTGAGTGTGTGTGTGTTGTGCTTTCATGATTCCCCCCGCTCGGAACGTATGCGGTCTCTCGAGGCTGTGTTCCCGCTGCACAGGTCAGGATCGACATGCTCCTTCCGTCATCCAGAATGGCGCTATCGCCTAAATTTGGGAGACATTCCGCGAGCGCATCTACTTCGTATGTGTTGGATGGTCTTGTGCATCCTGGGGGAGGGCACCCTCGAATGCTCGTCAGTTTGGGCCAGGGGAGAATCTCATGCTCTTGCAGGATGCTCTTCTGTCCTAGCTCCGACTGCGAGGAGGAGAGGGACGGGCGAGGAAGGAGGAGGGGAGACCGGTCCCCTGCTTTTGTCGCCGCGTTCGGGCTCCCAGGGCCATCTTCGGGTCCAGGGGCCAGGCCCTGGGTCTTGGACCCGTTTCCCTCGGGGCACGTCTGCTTCAGGCTAGGCAGTCGAAGGGGCGCGGCTGTCAGCTTGAAGTGCATTGGCGGACACCCCAGGGCAGACGGCTTCCTCAGAGGGCCAGCAGTTGACGGACGTTGCCAGTTCCACAAACTTTTGTGGGTGTCTGGAGGCGCGCCTAGAGGTGACGGTCACGCACCCTCTCGCTGATATGTATATAGCTACATGTGTGTATCTATGTATGTGCATACAGATGTGTATATGTATGCAACGGCTCCGTGCATTGCGGTCAATAGTGCCAGTATCATGAATAGGTGTCTCACGATTGTTTGGCCGCGTGATGCAGTTGGAGTTCTGACGACCAACCTGATTTGGTTGACATCCATAACATGTTGACGGACCGGCGCTCGCATTGAGGACATATGCTACCGCGATGTCAAGCCAGAGAAGAGCTAGGCTTTCGCCTTTCTCCTCCTACCACCCTGTCAACTATTTCCCCAGGTTAGTGGGTGGACCCATCCCCACCGATTGGTGCGGTAAGAGATGTGGGTGTTCTGTTTGTCCGCCGAATCGTTCTTTTTCCAGGAAGGCGTTCCGTATGTATATGTTGACACTACGCAAGCTATTGACGCCAGTTCCAAGAAATACGTCTATTGCCAGAGCAATGAAGTGGCACCAACGTTGCGACGAAAGGCACACGTACAGCAACTATGCAGATGCAGTGTCGCTAGGTAGAACGCAGCACCAGACGCAGCGGCGCGCAGAAAAGCTGACAAGGTGCACATCGCCATCACATATCAATAGCAGTAGGATGCGCACAATCTGGCAAGCATGGTTCAAACTCGAATCTGGAGACAGTCCAGCCATAGCCAGCTGACGCATACGCCATGCCAGTTTTCAACCCTTCGCATATCACACCTGCAATACAACAGCGCATACCAACACCGATGGAACGCAACACGCGACGAAGTTCACAGATCATCTCATCGTAACACATGTGTCAATCTGCATCACGAGCAACACCAATATGAACGCCATATTGGAACACGGTGATGTATTTTTCTCGGCGCTCTCTTGGAGCCCTTGTGAGGGCGCTTCTGGAGCCAACTTTGCGTTCCATTGAGGCCTATCCGGGCGCCTTTGTTTGGCATATTTGGGCCATGATGGAGTCAGTCCACCAACAAGTTTTGGACCCGTAATGAACATTCCCTCCTAGGAGCCCGAAGTATTGTTGGGCTTCTCGGGACCGTCTTTGTATGGCCCTCTTCTGGCCCTTCTGGGAAAAAAGATGTGGCCATGTCGGGACGACCTTGAGGCCCCAAATGCCCTTCGGAAGTCGAAGAGGCGAGGAGCTTGTCATCATGAAGCACCGCCATGTTTCTCCATCATGTTTGGCCTCTCAGCGGCATCCTTGGGAGGCTCGGTAGAGACGTTGCTCAAGCACCCTCTCAGAGCTATATTGGAGCGTTCTTGGGGCCGGATGCAGGCACGTCGGAGGCCGTCCTGGGCCAGCCTGGGCAATTCTGCTCCATCCTGGACGCAATCTAGAGCTATGCAGGGCTCTTTTGGGAGCCTTTTGGCGCCATCCTGGAGACGACGAGTCCGAGACTCCATGGGCCGATTCTGGTCGCTCGAGGGAGTGGAGTGCGCCGAACATGGCAGCAAGCAGTCGACCAGGTGGTCCCAGGAGAGCCTTTTCTCTCGTCCAGCCCAGGCTGGAGAGTGGCGAGGGGGGGCGGGCAAGCTGGGTGCGCTAACGCAAGAGCTGACGTCCTGCGAGAGACGGGGCGAGGGGAGGGTGTTGGAAAGGGGGAGGGGGAGGGTGGACGAGCAAGGGGGGAGTGAAAGGAAGATCGGGCAGGAGAGGAGAGAGCGGAGGCAGAGGAGGGAGAGAGGAGGCAGGGAGGGGAGGGGAGGGGAAGGGAAGGAGACGGGGCGGAGGGAGAGGCAGGGAGGGGAGAGGAGAAAGAGAGAGAGGGGAGGGGATGGGCAAAGAGAGGGAGGGGAGGGGAGGGGAGAGAGGAGGCAGGGAGGGAGGAGAGGCAGGGAGGCGGCTGGGGGGGCGAGAGGGAGAGTACTTCCCTCGGCCGTGGGCCAGTGGTCTCCAGCCGCTGAGCCTGCCCAGGCCCCATGGGGAGGGGGCCGGCGGCTTTTCTGTTCGTGACCAGCGGGAACGTCCAGCAGATTCGCGCCGTCGACTTCGGGACGGGAGGGTGTGGGGGGTGGGAGGGGGGGCGGGAGGCGAGGGCAGGCTCCCAACAGGGTCGTCGCGAGCTCTTCAGCTCTCTGCCGTGCGCCCTCCCACTCTCGAGGTGCCCCATGAGACTCGAGCAGAGGCGGCGGTCGCCATCCTGTCGGGAGGGCCGGGGCCAGGGCCTCGGTTGCCGGCGCCGAGTGCTGGAGCATGATGTTCGAGCCCTCAGGGCGTGCAGAGAGACGGCCCGAGCACGATGCTCGAGGCCTCTCCTGCGCATCCGGAGGGCTCAGCCCCCTTGGGAGCCGCAAGCGGCGAACCGAAACCGCCCGCGCGGCGTCTGGTCGACGCGCTAGGCAAGCGGAGGGCTGGCGAGGTCGGGGCTCGAGAGACGGGGGTCAATGCCAACGGGGGTCAGTCAGAGCGTGGCATCCTGCAGGATCCTGCAGAGCCAGGGGCGCCCTGACCCGGGTTTGGGTGCAGGATCCTGCAGGATCTTGCAGGATCCTGCGGGGCCTGACTGACCCGGGCTGGGGCTGACCCGGGTCAGCAGATCCCCGACGAGGGGGGGGGTCAGACATGCCCAGGCCGATTCTCACCACCTACCAAACCACCCCAACCCAACCCGAAGGCCTCAATTTGCCCTCCATTTCCAGTGGGGGGGGTCGGGGAACATCGAAAAAACACATATGGATCCCGTACCCCCCCCAACCCGAAATTCGGGTCTTCGGGTTGGGTTGGGGTGGTCTGGTAGGTAGCCATCACCCATGTCGTCAACGAAGCTCCCCATCGAGTAGGTGTAACGCCCGCCCCTGGGCCATCCAGCCCCTTCTGCCCCCACCGAAACAGGGCTGGTTCCAGCATTCCAAGGCCGCTCTCAGAGCTCGGAGCGTCAGGGGGCGCTCGGATCCAGCTGCGGCGCCCGATGCGCCCACCAGAGCCGCTGGATCCCAGAGGTTTCCAATGTATCCTCATTCGAAGTCATCTCTCAGACATTCGAAGTTATCTCAGACATTCGAATTAATCTTCATTCGAATGTGTCATCATTCGATGTTATCTCAGACATTCCCGATAAATCTCCATCTGGATCCAGCTGCCTGCGGGAAGTTCCGCCACCGTGCCATCCCAGCACTACTGGTGGCGACTGTTCGAGGGGGCACGGGAGGGCGACACGAATGACACCTCGTATCACCAGGTGTGGCAGATATATGACGATGTTGTTGCTAATGTTGATGCGGAAGCGGATGCTGATACTGCTCTGCTGTTGCTGTTGTTGTTGTCGTTGATGTTGATGCTGATGCAATGTGATGGTGATGCTGATGAGGATGATGATGATGATGATGGTGACGACGATGATGATGATGCTGAGAAGGAGGAGGAGGAGGAGGAAGAGGAGGTGGAGGAGGAAGGTGGTGGTTGTGATGATGACGACGATGACGATGCTGAGGAGGAGGAGGAGCAGAGGAGGATCAGTGGTGTTGATGATCAAGCTGGTGATTGGTGATAATGGCCATGCTGATGATGATGATGTTGATGATGATGATGACTATCATGATGATGACGATGATGACAATGATGTTGATGGTGACGATGACGATGGCGACGATGCTGATACTAATGATAATAACGATGATGATGCTGATGATGGTGATTATGATTACGATGGCTGTGGTGGTGATTCAGATTCGAATGCTGCTGATAATGATACCGATGATGATGAGGATGATAATCGTGATGATGATGATTGTGGTGGCGTTGATGAGGATAGATCCTGATGATGCTGTTGATGATGATGACTATGCTGATGGTGATGATGCTGATTCTGATGATACTGATGATGATAATGGCGATGGTGACTGCGATGACGACGACGACGATGTTGATTCCGATGTTGATGATGACGCTGATGATGATGATGATGAGGTTGGTGCTGATGCTGGTGCGGATGATGATGATTACTGTTGATGATGTTGATGCTGGTGCTGATCATCACGATGATGATGACGATGGTGATGTTGACGATGCTGATGATGATGATGATCGTGCTGATGCTAATGCTGATTATGATGCTAATGCTGATTATGCTGATGATGATGATGATGATGCTGACGATGCTGCTATGATGCTGATGCTGTTGATGATGATGACGATGATGCTGATGCTGATGATGGCGATGATGCTGATGATGATGATAATGCTGATGATGCCGATGGCGAGACGGATGAGGATGATGATGAGGATGTTGATGAGGACGAGGGTGAGGATGAGAACGATGCTGTTGCTGATGATGCTGCTGATCATGATGATGATGATGATGCTGATGCTGATGCTGATGATGGTTATGACGAGTATGCTGCTGATGATGATGATGCTGATGATGTGGATGATGGCGATTATATGATGATGCTGATGCTGGTGCTGATGCCGATGCCGACGTTGACGCTGATGCTGATGCTGATGCTGCTGCTGATGCTGCTGATGCTGCTGATGCTGCTGATGATGATGCTGATGATGCTCATGCTGATGATGCTGATGCTGATGCTGGTGATGATGATGATGATGGTGATGATGCTGATTCTGATGATACTGATGATGATAATGGCGATGGTGACTGTGATGACGACGACGACGATGTTGATTCCGATGTTGATGATGACGCTGATGATGATGATGATGAGGTTGGTGCTGATGCTGGTGTGGATGATGATGATGATTACTGTTGATGATGTTGATGCTGGTGCTGATCATCACGATGATGATGACGATGGTGATGTTGACGATGCTGATGATGATGATGATCGTGCTGATGCTAATGCTGATTATGATGCTAATGCCGGTTATGCTGATGATGATGATGATGATGCTGACGATGCTGCTATGATGCTGATGCTGTTGATGATGATGACGATGATGCTGATGCTGATGATGGCGATGATGCTGATGATGATGATAATGATGATGATGCCGATGGCGAGACGGATGAGGATGATGATGAGGATGTTGATGAGGACGAGGGTGAGGATGAGAACGATGTTGTTGCTGATGATGCTGCTGATCATGATGATGATGATGATACTGATGCTGATGCTGATGATGGTTATGCCGAGTATGCTGCTGATGATGATGATGCTGATGATGTGGATGATGGCGATTATATGATGATGTTGGTGCTGGTGCTGATGCCGATGCCGACGCTGACGCTGATGCTGATGCTGCTGCTGAAGCTGCTGATGCTGCTGATGCTGCTGATGATGATGCTGATGATGCTGATGATGCTGATGATGCTGATGCTGATGATGATGATGCTGATGATGATGATGATGATGATGGTGATGGTGATGGTGATGGTGATGATAATGATGATGATGATGATGATGCTGATGCTGATGCTGGTGATGATGATGATGATGCTGATGATGATGATGATGATGATGATGATGACGATGATGATGATGATGATGATGATGATGATGATGATGATGATGATGATGATGATGATGATGATGATGATGCGGAGGAGAAGGAGGATGGGGAGTAGGAGGAGGAGGAAGAAGTGGGGGAGGAGGAGGAGCAGGAGGAGGTGGACGAGGAGGAGGAGGACCAGGAGGACGAGGAGGTGGAGGGGGACGATGGTGATGCCGTCTTGGGCCGTCGAGCCTTAGGGCCTTATTGGGTGCCTCTAGAGGCCCTCGTGCGCCGTCTTCTGGCCGTCTTGGATGCCTCCGGGGCCATCATGAGATCATCGAGGCCCTTTTCAGCAGTTGTGGGGCTGTTGTGGATGCCTCGTGGGCCATCGTGGAGTCCTCTTGAGCCATCTTGGGGCTCTCCTAGAGGCCTCTTGAGGGCCGTCTTGGCCGTCGAAGAACCTTCTGAGGCCGTCTTGGATACCAAAGGGGGGACCCTCTTGGGCCGTCTTTGAGCCGTATTGGATGCCTTTTGGGCCATCGTGGGGTTCTCTAGGCTCTAGGGTCATTTCGGAACCTTCATGGGTGGTTCTTGAGCCGTCCTGGAGCAACCGTGGAGGCTCCGTCGGCCGTCTTGAGCTGATGGCAGCCGGAAAGACAAATGCGAGAATGAGACAATTATTATTTGGAGCTTGTTGGAGGTCCTCTTGCGGCTGTCTTGGAGGCATCGTGGGCCGTCCTGAAGCCATATTCGGCCACCTTGGGGCAATCGTGTGCCGTCCTCGAGGTATCTTGGGCATCCTTGGTTGCCCTGGTTGCCTGCCTGGGCCGTCTTGAAAGCTCGGGACGCGGAGACAGAAGTTCCCAACCATCCTGTGCTGGGTCCTTGTTCTGAAGAGGAGCGCCCCGCGTTCTCATTATCTCCTCTCCTCCTCTCCTCCTCCTCCCCCTCCCGCTTCCCATCCTTGCCTCTGCCCTCCGCGTGTCAACCTGTTTGGCACACCACTGACACGCTTCGTGTCTTCACAGGCAGCTCCACCGAGTGCCCCAGTGGCAGGGTCCGCATGCGCCTTCCCACCAAGTACAGCGCTTCGCGGCCCCACAGGGAGCTCCACGATTGCCCTAGTCTACATGCGTCTCCCCCACCCAGTGCAGCGTCTCGGGGCCCTTGAAGAGGTCCGGCGAAGGCCTCAGTGGCAGAGTCCACATGCGACCACCAACCCAGTACAGTGTATCGCGGCCTATAGGGAGCTGCACCGGGAGTCTTCGTGGCAGGGTCCACATGCGTTTCCCCCACCCAGTACATCGTTCCGTGGTTCGTAGGGAGCTCCACTGAAGGCCCACTGGCAAGGTTTATTCGCGTCTCCCCCACGCAATACAGCGTTTCGTAACCCATAGGGAGCTCCACCAGAGGCCTCAGAGGCAGGATCCACATGCGTTTCCCTGCTCCACTTCGGCACACCCCTCACACGTTTCGCGCCTCCCACGGGGAGCTCCACCGAAGGCCCCGTGGCAGGGTCCACATGCGTCTCCCCCGCCCAGTGCAGCGCTTGGTGGCTCCATGCTAAGCTTCAGGCTGCAGTGGCCGCGGCCGCATGCGTCTTCT